CAAAGTACGGTCAACAGCAAGCGTGCCCTTCCACCTAGCTGGGCGGTGACTCTACGTCTATAATGCATGCGTTTCACCCATTCTCCGAGAACTCTCTGTTTATTACATTGTTACCTACATCGCTTCGTCCTTCTTTAGATTTCGGCTAAATATTTGTTAGTCTATCTGTATTTGTTATGTGCACCCAGTCCATACATATCTACCAACAGGTATGTATATGGATTGAGTAAATCTTCCAATATGTTAAGTTTTTATTAAAAAAACGCGTAGCTGTAAGAGATTCCCGCTGCAAAATCCAGTGTTCACAAAATCAAAGCATGTGCCTAAATATAATATATAAGTTACGCTTAATTAAATAAAGGTTGTGAGATTTATTTAATGCAATATTTAGGAGTAGGTAAGAGCTTTTTGTCCACGGCTGTTAAGCAATGTATCCATTATGTATGTGTTTCCTCAAGAATAATGCTATCCATTATTAACTAAGTTAATAATGATTTTATTATTCACTAGTGAATAACGAGGACCGTCAACTGTTCATTACAAATCATATTAGTGACTTTTTACTAAAGATTCTAAATGTCAAAATTGTAGCAACCAAAAGAGAAGTCTTGTCTCTATACGTTTTCTAAGAAGAACTCAAATGAGCACTCAAAACCTACATACTACTGTACGTTCTTTTAAAGCATCAGCCAGGTATTATCAACAAATACTGGCAATCTCAACGTTTTGAAACCATTTACCTACGGACCACATACTTTATTTTATTAGTAAGCGATAAGAATGTGTCAATGGTTAATTTTGATTTGATTTGAATGGTCAAAATTTGTGTCATATTTACTTCATTTAAGTTTGTTAGCTGTTTAAAATAGGGGGTTGTTTTAATAAAATGACACAGTCCTGATAAATGTCGTTTATTCTAGTAGTTTTTTCCATGAACCTTTGTAAAACAATTAAAACAAACATGGCACCACGCCAAAATTTAACCTCTTTCTGAAATTGTAACTTATAAAAATAAAATTAGGTTCATAGTCGTGGACAAAGTTTAGTATTACTCGCATATAATGGCTACTATTCACTCGGGTGATTTACGACACTCACCTACAGCTCGTGTCGCAAACATCACCCTCGTGAATAATATCTGTCATTATATGCTTGTTGAATATAATATACTATTATTTTTTTGTTTCCATTACGTAATTCACTGTAAGAGATCTGATCGGAAAGCATATTATTCAGAATGAATATATTTTTCCCCACTTACCCCTTAAGAAATTTGCTATTTCCGTACAAAAGTAGGCGGAAACTTTAGATATCATATTCATATACGGAAAGTAACCAAACTGCACTAGTAAAGTTAGGAACGTTTCTCATTAATACTCATTTAATATAAACTTTAATTGTCCAATTTAAGTTGGATGCTTTAAATAATATGCTTTGCCGACTATATCAAGAGCAAGTACTATTTTATAATGGTTATGTCGAGGAATGTTAAAGTAAATTTTCTCTACAGTGTATTGATCTGGAAACAATATTTTTATTGAATTTCAGTCTTTATAGCGTTGTAGTCTATCAGAAGCATTACCACAGAGCAGACACTGCTTGATGGCATTACTTTGATATGTAGTTTAAGTAGTAAATGCACTTTGTCTAATGTACTTAAATGATTTATATAAGCGCACTTTATGACGTTTACAAGTTTGTATAAACCATCTCAAAATAGAAAATAGTAAGATTGTTACAGGCAACTGATTTTTAAAAAAATCTTTTTAAGTTGTTATTGAAAGTTATTTAATATAGGGAAGTTGATATTTGTTAATTTATTTTTATAGGCCTCATATGTAGAATAGTTCCTAAGTAAATATTAAAAATTTTTAAAAAATTTGTTGATATTGTTAAAGTTTACTGATTATTGTAACAGCTATTGCTAATAAATGAATTTTAGCATTGTATTTGTCTATTTAATTTATTATTCTAATAATTATTATTGCAAATTTTTATAACTTCATTAATATCAGACAAATTGAAATCAGGTATAATTAAAAATTATTGAATAGAATGCCGTTAAATACGGTTCTGTCTACTTTTAGGTAAAAACTTTGTAGATCAAGATATTCAACGATGATTAGTACAGGTGGATGTCTCCTAGATGGCGTGGCAGTTGTATACAAAATATTGCATTTACTTCGAGTTTATTACCAAATGAAGAATTTACTTGCCTTGAACCTTATTCCTGAATGTTATACCTTTTCCGTTTGGTAGTAAACCCGCAATAAATGTAAATTAATGTGTACGAATACCGCGCCATCTAGCAATCATCCACCTGTACTAATCATCCGTTGAATAAGTATCCTAATCTATAAACAAAGGTAAAAAGAAAACACTTATAGATTCTTTGTTGTGTCGTTGACTGAGACTCAATAACCAAAAAAAAAAAAAGAACAAAATTTAAAAAAAAAGGACTTTAAAAAAAAAAAAAAAAAAAAAAAAAAAAATAATAAAAAAACACCCCCCCCCCCCAAAAAAAAACACCCCCCCAAAAAAAAAAAAAAAAAAAATACCCTATTATAAACAAAACCACCTGATTTGATCTGGAAACATTAAAGGTCGATTTAGACGTTCTAATATTTTATTGAATTCTGTGGTTTTTATTGAATTCTGAGTCTGTGGTTTTGATCATAATCTTGAACCCTTTGAATGTGTAAATGCCACAGACATGTACAATATGCACTATCATACACGCCGAAATTGTATCTCACATCAAAAAGAATATTTACATATACAAACATACATAAATATTTTTTGCCATGGCTATGCGTAGATCCAAGGTATGTGACATGTATGCTATTACAGACCACAGATTCAAAAATGCGTTTAGCATAATACTCATCAGCTCTAAGTAAGCAGTGATCTGTGCTCATTGTGCTCATTCATAGAAAACCCATATATACTTATATGGTTTTCTATGTGCTCATTTAACAGTTGAGCTCGTAGAATGCGCGAACGCGCCCTATGATATATGTCAGAAAGTAGGGTTATGTTAGATTTTAAAAAGCTATAAAAATTATTAATTTCAAAAAGGAATGTTTTCACCGAGTTTTAGGCATCTATGCAACATAAAATTGGTAAATGTATTTAAGGGTAAATAAAAGATAAGCTGTCTATTATTTTTATTAACTTAACCTATATTTTCAGCCCAAATTTGTACTTCTACAAGCAGAGAAAAATGGGACTTATTGTCAGCGGTTTGTATAGAAAGAAAACCAATAATAACACCAGCGTTAAATGAACTAGAAAGAGAATATAGGCAGTATTTATCCGAAGTAGAATTTGAGAAAAGCCTAAAGTCAGACCACGAAGTTCGACATGAAGCAGAAATGTATGTTATTCCTTAATTCATTCACAAAAATAGTAATAAATACATAATTTTGCAGGCGACAACTGGAATCTTTAAAAAAGGAAACGTAGATGATGTAGAAGTAACGTTGAAACAAACAGCACAAGATTTTGCCGATGCTAGCCTCGATGAGTTGGAAGCAATTTAAATTCGCCAGTAAAGTTACAGGTAAACATTTTACAGTGACATTATTACTACTTTAGTTGTAATTTTGCCTTTTTAGAAGCAGATAAGAAAAATGATCTAAAGTCGTTAAATCGCAAATTAGATAAGCATTTAGTTCTTGTTTTAAATCAAAAAGTGGGTACGGATAAATTTTATATGTTGCCTCAAGCTAGTTGGCAAGAAGGGGGAGACTTTACGGCAGGTACATATCACTTTATCATGCATACAGAAAAAATTCTCAACTTCCATTTAACTGAATTGCAGTTTAATTTGTTCAAAGTTTGATGACTTTGAGACAACAAATTTTTCCTAGATTGATTATATTTGGAAGGTTAGTATTTTGTGATTTTTAGACTGCAGAACGTGTTCTGAAACAATGTTAATGGCGACAATATTAAAGCACAGATATATGGTAATGCTCCCTGCGGAATATATAAATATAAGTATCCCAAAGAAATGTGCAAGAACAAGGAGCAGTAGGAGCTAAGGTGTGACCTTTTAAATATCCATACACTGCAATATTTATGATTTTGATCTTCCAATCAATGTAAATGTAATTATTTCTATAGAGAATATTGCAGGCTGCAATATTCTCTATAGAAATAATTACAATTGTAATTGTAATAATTACAATTGGAGGCAATTTGCAGCCTCCAAATTTAAATTAAAAAATAGTTTATTCTTGTAATTTAGGCCTAATGTATATTGGCACTGAGGTCTAGACCTTTCATATGTATAGTTTTTTTTTGGATTTCATTCTATTTAGAATAAGGCAAATGTGTAAAGCATATAAATTGTATTTCATCATAATTATACACCTCAGCCTATCACAACAAATTACAAAAGGTATAAAAGGTTTCTCTAATATTTTATATTTATCTTGATTTTTACTTTGCAGGTGTTTTTCTACTTTGCCAGATATCTCAAAGGCGTGGTTACCCAAAAAAAGAATTAGATTTTACGTGGTTGGATAGACAAGAGTTACAAACAACATTACCCCCTAACTATAGTAAATCAGTTTCACAGTTTCTCATAGATGAATAATTTTTTACCTGTATATATGTATGTAAAATAAAGTATTTTATTCCTTTTTAGTAATAATTTATTTATTTCTGGTTATATGTATTGAAAATAGACAAAATTTCTTATTTCCATAAGAAATCTCTGTGTTGGTCATGTTACTATGAAATTATCATCAGTAACAAAATGCTAAGTAAAATGAACAAAAGCTAAAAAAATAGTAAAGACAATCATTGACTTTATTTATGTAAACGCAACAAAAACGTTATTTTTCTACGACTGCCTTTGAAAACCGTTAAAAATGCACTAAACTAACTAGGTATATTTGAAAATTTAAGATTTCATGAGTGTCACAAATCATTTTGCAGATGTTCCCAGCTCCTATCCTATATTATGTAGTCTTAAAAAACAAAAAAAAGTATGTCAGAAGTGGGATTCGAACCCACGCCCACAAAGTGGACCAGAATGCTCGAAACCTATCAAATAGGCAAGGTAACCTTGAGTCTGGCGCCTTAGACCGCTCGGCCATCCTGACATATACCCAAATGATTCCATACGTGTAACAAGAATATAAATTGTGTACTATGTGTATAAAATTATTTTTTTGATTAAATAAATATGGTATTTCTTTCTGGAATGTATCAATTTAACTTTTTTAATATTTTAATTTATTTTTTAATATTTGTATTGACTTATAACCTAAAAAGAAAACACTATCAAGTTAAATTAAATAAATACTTGGGTAATACCTACTTACCTAAATATTCTTTTCTATATTATTTATTATACATAATGATAATAGGCATACACAAGTTATATTACGTTATTAACAGGTATAAAAATTACGTACAGGGTGGACAAATTTCGATGTTTTCATAGGGAATCTCAAATAACCATGGGCGTTTTCTAGGGAAGGGGGCAAGCGCACTCCTGTCACCCCCTGCGGACGCCCACAATCACTATATTTTAATATTAAATTAATAAAATGGTTTCATGGAAAATTTCATAAATTTATTTTCAACCAATTAGAAGGCTCCTTTTTGTTTACGTTGCTTATAGCAACGGGAGATTATCGCGAAAATTTCATAAATTTATTTTCAACCAATTAGATGTCTCCGTTTTGTTTACGTTGCTAATAGCAGCGGGAGATTTTCGCGATAATTTTGTTAGTTAACTTAATGGAATTAATAAGTGATAATTTTCCTGTCAAAAATGACAGAAATTTATGAAATTTTCTTACCGAATCTCCCACGCAGCAGAATTAATCTCCGATAATTTTTTTCTCGGTTTCACTCATGTTTTTGTTGATAGAAAATTTCCCTCCTCTTCGACTCGGGATAATTTTCTATCAACAAAAACATTCGTGACCTTGAAAAAAAATTATCGGTAATAATTCTGCTGCTAGGGGAGATTACAAGTGATAATTTTGTTAGTTAACTTAATGGAATTAATAAGTGATAATTTTTCTGTCAAAAATGAAGTGCTTTATATCTATTGGCAAAAGTCACTCAGAATAAAATCAAAATACATTTTGTTGCTAACTTATAATTTTTATTGATACTAACCAATTTGCTTTACATATCGAACACCAGGGCTAAAAGACACATTAAAAATTTTTAAAAGATTTGAAATATAATGAAATTCTTGTACTGCATCTTTTTTAAAAGGCGAAAAACTCCAATTTATGAAATTTTCTTACCGAATCTCCCACGCAGCAGAATTAATTCCCGATAATTTTTTTCTCGGTTTCACTCATGTTTTTGTTGATAGAAAATTTCCCTCGTCTTCGACTCGGGATAATTTTCTATCAACAAAAACATTCGTGACCTTGAAAAAAAAATTATCGGTAATAATTCTGCTGCTAGGGAGATTATAAGTGAAAATATTAGTAATGGGTAATTATATACAGGGCGAAGTATTTAACATTGCATGTTACACAAAGACGAAAAACGGTTTGGTTCATTAATACCTATATAATTAATAAAATAATGAATATATGTGCCTGAGACTTCTTCAAGAAAATATGTACTATGTGACATAGACATCAGGACATCCAGTTATATTTAGTTTATTTCAATTAATTACCTGCAGTGAAGTACAAGTATTTTAACGGCAAATTAAAAAAAATTATCGCACAAATGGGCTTAAAATAATCTGAAACGTCGATATTTTCAATTTAAAAACAAAATAGTTTTTGTCTGTCAGTCTGACTGTCTGCCTGTCAGTTTGTTATTTGTAACATAATGTGATTACATTTTTTACTTATTCAGGTGGAGCGTTGGGGTGTGGGGTGATGTAAATATTATAAATAATTTACTATATTTCAAGATAAATTTTTTGTCGGTATAGGGGTGAGTTTGTTTTTATTGTTTATCTCGTTTGCACTCGTTCGTAAATCGAGTGCAGGGAACCAATTAAATAGGTAAAATGTGTGGGGAATTGAACGAGACTAGACGCGATTTTGGGTAAGGCTTGGTTCTCGAGATACGACCCGTCAAAGTGGAAAAATGTAGATTTTTACGGTAAAAATTACATTTTCTAAGTTGGACAGCTCGTAATTCGGAAACAAAACGAGATAAAAATGTTTGCTTTGTGCCGTTCGATGGATAATTTAATTAGCTTTCGATTGATGTAAAGAAAGTTGGGGCTCGTTCCTCGTTTAGAAAAGTTATGTATATTTAAATGCGATCGCGTCAAAACCCATGGCGATTTTTCAAAAAAATCGACTAGTTTAAGAAAAATCTGAAAAAAATCACGTAGACTAAACTAGGTAAGAGAAATTGAATGGTGAATCGAAATCGAAACTGAAGCATCCTATCTCTTTTCGTTTTCGAGATGACCACTATAGGAAATCAAAGATATTCGGTATCCAATGCGCAAAAACGCCCGACAAAAATACAAAAAGTCAGATATCAACTTGAAAATTTAGTATAACATAGAAAAAAGTGTGGGAAATCGAATGAGACTAGGCACAATCATGGGCGATGGTCGGTTTCCGATATACGAGTTACCAAAGCGAAAAAATGTAGATTTTTCCGGTAAAAATACAATTTTTTGAGTTGGAGAGCTCGTAACTTAGAAACTGAACGAAATGTCGACTTTATTTAAAATTTTAGTTTCATATAGAAAAAAGGGTGGGGAATTAAATGAAACTAGGCGCGATCTTGGGCGATGTTCGATTCCCTATGAAAAAAATGTTTAAATAAAATCAAACTCACACCTACACTGATCGGGGGTTGCATCCCCCCCCCCCCCGAATACGAAAATTCTGTTTTATACTCACGACATGCATCTAAACACCCCCTCAAAATTTCAGCCATCACGTTTTTTTTTTTAGGAAATGGGATTTATATGTCTCTATTTACTGTAGTAAAATAATGGTGTCTCATTTGGGGTCGGATGGGGTTAAGAGGTATTGTGCCCTCCTTTTGCAAGGACAAAATTTTAAAATTCTCCGATCATCTCCTGGGGCCAGTAAACACCGTTACATTGCGTGTATTCTTGGATATTATATTTATTCCTACTTTTTCTAGAATTTCCGATTGACTAACGTATTGATGATCTTTGATGTTATTGCCTTGGAAACGCATATGACCACGGGTGTGAAATTTTACTGGCTAGCCGGTAATGATTTTACAGACTAGCCAGTTAAGAGACATTTTCAAAGTGAATACATTGACTTTGTAAATTGATGTTTACAAGTGAATAACAAATAAAACTATAAAAATAAAAAACATCCAAGCAGAGCGATAAATTCTTGCAAATACCTTTGAACGCGTGGTTAAAAGAAGGTGGAGCCTCTAAATTCGAGGGTGGAGCCTGGAGATACAGGGGTTGATGTTTATTAGGGATGCTGCGGTTTACGTCGCTTATAGCTTAACTTGCCATTTATCTTCGCTGTCATCTCATGTCACAGTTTGTTCGTCAAACGGAAAAACCCGCGTGTGAACGGCTGAGGCAGTTCTTCGTCTTTTAACAAAAAAAAAATTTTAAATTAAATTAAATTAAATTAAATTAAATTAAATTTTTAAATCTGTGACTAGAATCGTGTCTCTGATTTAGTGGTAAAATTATGTGAGAGTGGTCTTTCTTGTTTTGTATATTTTTTTCTGTAGACAATGCAAGAACACAAATCGTTTCTTATAAAGGATCTACTGGGCGATGTAATTAACAGCTCCAATGAAGGTAATGACATAAGCATATAAGGAGGTACGGGAAAAGCTTCCGATAATGAGATGAGAAATAAGTTTTTTAATTAAAAATTTACATGGAATCTAAAAGGGGACATAAGGAAAATATATTTATTTATTTAAATATACCAGGGAATCTTAAATTATTATATTTTGAGTTTTAAAAATAATAATTATTATTATTCCGTGTAGACCCGTCAGTACTGTCAGTAGGTCAACAAAATATATGTATGCAATATAGATAAAAAGGCTTGTTCAAATGTAATTTAATGCCAACAACATTACACCAACAAATTAATTTGTAATTGTTCTTATATAAGCATAAATTTCTGTGGATTTGTTATTATATTTTGTTACTCGATTTTTAATAGGTCTTTATACAAGAAATCGAGTATTTAATAAAATTAGTTGCACACTATACTTTTTATACGACAGCAACTATCGAAATAAAACATTTGGAAATTACTTGTCTCTTTTTTGACTGGAGCCAGTCAACAGTCACTATAGGTAAAGCAAAAATAGTAAGTTATACTTTCTAGACAGAGGCATGTTTCAAAATATCAAGCAAAACCATAATACCTTCCAAAAGCGCCGACAAGTGCACGTGCGAGGAGGCGACACCAAAGACGATAGTGAAAGACCGCCGCATCGCAAATCATTAGTACAAGACAGATCAAACAAACACAATGTGTTATGTGTGCTGTGATAAAATTTAAATTGTCGTACTGTACTACTGTACCCAAGTTTTCCTTCTTCTCTTCTTTCTTCTTTCTTCTCCAGTCTTCAGTTTGAGTCTGTCCATCAAAGTACTCTGGTCTAAAAACCAGGTCTGGATTTTAATTTGGGGAAAACATATTGAAAGGGCTAATAGAAAATTTTCTCTTTATTGGTCCGAGACCACTTTAATTCGTTTGAAAAAGAAGCTACAAATTTACTAGCACAGGAGGAATACCTATGAGTATTCTATGGGCAGATCTAACGCCCGAAAGAAATAGGTACCCCGACGGTAGCTTTTAAATGAGAAATTTATATTTCGAACACAAACGTTTTTAGTCATAATAGACAAGCTGGTCAATGAATTACAACGAGATTGTAATGCATATTTAGATCTTAGCAAGTTATTTGGATTAATATCAAAATACCTATAGCTAATTGTGAGTTCTTTTCCAAAAACTGGTTTACAATAAAAACAAATATAGAACAACAATGCAGAAGGAACGCCTGTCTTTATTAACATTGATGTGTATAGAAAGGGGTGTTCTGGAGGAATTAGAATTTGATGATGTTATACAAGAATTTGTTAAACTAAGTTACGAAAAAAGTATTTTGATCTGCGTATTTTTTG